TTTCTACTAAATTATTGTGATATACAATAATTGATAGTGCATATTAAATGTAATCATTTATGATATTGTAAATAAAAATGATCACCATATCAATGAATATAATATTCATAGAGATTTTCTAGAGATTCTAACAAAATTCAAATCATTTTTCGAAAAAAGTAAAAGAGAAAAAAAAATTTTTTTTCAGATATTCGATTTTTCTTTTGCATATATATTCAGTAGTTATCAATATGTTCAGTCGGTTTTGTGAATTTTTCACTGTTCTACAGTTTTTTTATATTTTTGTATTTATAAAAAAATATCGATTTTCATCACTAAGAACTCTTTTTGGAACTACATGTGTTAAAAATGATAGAGTAGTAAATTTATATTTACAAAATATTATTATTACGATCTGATATTTGGTTTAAGTTATATATATGCATATAAACAAGAAATCATATATCGTATAAATCTCTGTAAATTGTGAATAAATATTGGATGTGTTAACGAGGGAAATCAAAGGAATTTAATTTTGTTTAAAAAAATTTATTAAAAATAATTATAGTTTTTTTTGAAAATTTTTTATTTATCAAAGAAAAGTAGCAAAAACACAAAATATTAATTAAACATATAATTTCATTCCAATCTGTATAGTAAAACCAATTATGTATTACTAAAAAATTTAAAAGTATTCATATTTTTAATTGAAATAAAAAATTTATAAATATTATAAAAATAATTATTATATTATAATAAAATAAATGCAAATTTTTCACTTTTCTTTTTATACAATTATAATAGATAACAAATAAGACAAGAATTATGTGTCGATAAAGCAAAAATTTATCTTATCATCCGTAAAACCGCGGTAAAATATAAAAATGAAAACGTCTATTTTTATTAAAACAATAATCATGTAACATTTATAATAAATGTTTATTATAAGATTACATATGCATCATGAATATTTTATGTGATAATTGACGTACAATTGTATCACGAATTTCTCCAAAAATAAATTTTCCAAAAGATCTTTCTACATATCCACTTTTCCTTTTGCATCCAATTACTATTCTCGATTTTTTATATTTTATTATGAAATCAATATCCATCATAGAGCATCCTTTCAATTTTGAGAATGTTAACGATAAATTTTCAAAGTTCGTTGAAATTAATAAGAACATAATCTCTCAACAAATTATCATATGCGATTCATCTACATTCTCGCTGTTTATTATTATTATTATTTCAATTCTCACGTGAGAAATCATTTCGAAAGTATTCAATCGCTCCACGTCACTTCCAATCGTCGAAAATCTCCTCGAATCACGTATACAACCCTCCCTCTCAAACCATCAGAATCTCGCTTATTGGACTTCCGTGGTGGTCGATTGTTGTCGAGCTGACTGGCACCCACGTTTCACGTGGAATCCCGTAAAAGAATGCCGGGACACGAAACCGTCGAGTCATGAATAGATGAGAGGCAGATAAAAATTGAAAAGTTCGCCGCCTCTCCATAGGGATCCTGTACACAGGCTAGAACACGAGCCCGCCACTTTTGGCTACTTCTCTGACCCGTGCAGGGCTTATACTTTCCCTGTTCTCCTTTGCGGGATTACGTCGCCGGGGTTCATAACCGGTGCACATTCAACCAGAGGAGAACGTTTCAACCGCGATTTCCGATCTGGCCACAGAAGAAAGAACCTCTTTACCGCTCTTGCGGCTACCACCGTAGTTTTAATCATTTCCATGCGATCCACGCTGAAAGAAAACGAGATACGCCCCGTTGCTGGGCTAAAATTCGCTCTTCCCTCCTGGGAGGTTGATTTTAAAATGTTTCTTCTTTTTTTTTTTTATTCAGGGGAGATGTAATGTTTTATCGAATCAAGAGAGACAGAAAGAGGTTCTCTCTCTCTTCTTTTTTTTTTAAGTTAATTAACAAAAAGATGAATTAATTTTCTTTTCTTTGTAAAGCATTGAAGATTCTTTTTTTTTTGTGTGTGTGTTATTTTGATGGATAACTTTTTAGGAGAAATGTTCTTATTTCTTGAAATTACTGGAATTTTTTTTTTTTTGTTAATCAAGCACGGTTTTTAAATAAATATAGTTATGTATACAATATAAGAAGATGTTATTTATTATATCTTATTTATATTGTATTTCATTTATTGTATGATTTTCTTTTGAAGAATATGAGACGAAAAATAATTGTCAGTATCGTATTAATAAAATAAAACATTTTAATATGAAAAAATTATCTCTTATTACAATGAATATAATCATTTAATTATTTCATATGTTCATAAGAGGATTTCACTCTAATCCACTTCATTTTTTAAAAAGTTTTAATTTTAATCCTAAAATAAATAATGAGATTACCTTCCAATAGAATTGATCAATGTAACTTTAATGACTCCGATATTTATGCTCACTCAAAAAAAGAAAAATCAAATTGAATTCACAATTTTGATTTTTAGAAAAATTATCTATCATTAATCTGTAAATAAAAAATACATTTATAAGAAATATAAAATATCCAAAAATCTACAAAATCACATAAACAAAAAGTGGTACAGAAAATATCTAAAGTGAATTATATACATTATAATAGTTAAGAAATGAGACAAACCCTTATGTCACATCTATTTTAAAAAAACATTCTATCTGTATATCCAATTTCAATTTTCCAAGAAAATCAAAAAATTATCTCGTAAATTAACGAATTTTCAAAATCAATTTTCCAGGCAACCATCACCAGGATCCGGCACAACCGGAACGTCCACGGTTTCCTCGAGTGTCCCCGATGGAGAAAATGGCCAGAGCATCAGTCTATATCCGGTGGGAAGCGTGGGTCCAACACCAACGAACCCAACAACGGCCACACCGATCACTACCACGGCGACGATATCACTGGCCACCTCTGGAACCAGGAGCCAAGAGCCTGGACCCAGTATCACCAGAAGCGTGTCAGCGCCTACTGCACCCAGGCCAGTCGTCCAGGTGGCTGCCAGTACCTCCAGCAACAATGGCACACAAAAACAGAGATTGAGGAGGACTATGAGTCGCACTGAGGCTATCAGGAAGTTAGTTCATATGATTATTTATAATGATATTTTTTAACAAGTTCATGTGATATCAAATCTATATAAGTATCCTAATAATTGTCATCTTAAATTTGTTATATAAATACAGTTAGAGTAGCTTTTTTCAACTTGTTATACTGGCTCAATATATTTATTTTTAATGATAATGAATTATAAATATTTATAAAATATAAAATTTTTAGAAATCTGATAATCTGTAATTATTATGTATAAATGAGTAAAATTGTGTAAATTTGAAAATAATTTCTGCATGTGTAATATTTTTAAATTAAAAATTTAACAATTTAATATTCAGCTATAATCTATAGATTGAAAAATGCTAGTTTAAAGATTATTTAATGGAGAAATCGCCATGTTGCTTAAAATCTCTTTTACATAACAGAAAAATATTTATTTATGTGTTTCGGATATGAAAAATTAATTAAAATCTATAAACAAATTGAAATTGTTCATTAATGTGAATATTATTCATATCAATGATCCCAATATCGATGATCGCTATTATTATAACTTATAGATCAGACAGAAAAATGATCAATTATTTTTAGCATCAATTTTCTATTTTCATAATCGAGTTTTAAAAGCACATAAAAATAATTGATATGATACTAATTTGAATAGTAATAAGAATTAAAAATATTTACAATTTTAAGAACTAGAATCAAATATTTGTTAGCTTATCTTTGTAACATTAAATATAATATTCGATATTATTTATTATTAGGATAAAATAACACAAATTTTATTGGAAATATTTAATTATTCCATTTATAATAAATTGTTCGATAATCGTCAATTTTTATTTGCCACGAATTCATAGAAAAATATTTTTAAAAAATTGCCATCTCATCATATTAGTATATAAAAAGAAAAATTACAAATCAACATTATAAAAATACAATAAACTTTAGTTCTAAAATAGTTTAAAAAAATCTTAATAGAAAAACAATAAAATAATAATCCTCAATAAACGTTAAATTACCACGTTAAACTACGATTGTAAAAATTACATTCAATTTAACACCACCATTCGATCCAACCATTGTACCCACGAAAAAAAATTCCATCCGAATTCCAAACTTACAACTCAATGCACCATTCACGGGGAGGTATTCAAGAACGTTTTTACGAAATTAATCAAGCCAGTGTCCAATCTTTTGTTCCTCACCTCTTATTGCCCCGATAACACGGATGGAACGCGGCGTAAATAGATCTTTTCGGCCGAATAACTCGAACTCGACGCTTTATTTTCCGTTTCAGCTACATCAGACGCGAAACAGCGCAATTCTTTGGGGTGGACGAGGAATCCGAGGCTGTGGAGAGACAACGATGGCTCGATCGAAGACGGAGAATGGCGTCGAGGAAATACGGTGCCCTTGTTCCGGAACACAGACCACCGGATCCTGATATCACCAGAGACGTGCCGGATATTACGGATGTGCCAGAAGTATGTCGGATGTTTATTAACGTCTGCTACGTTTCGATCATTCTCTACTAGATTTCAAACAATTTTCTTAACTTTCAAGAGAATATGAAAGTATCATTAATTTTATACGAGAAACTTCTTTCCAAGAAGATAATCCATTAAATTTTTCAATTTCGTTAGCTCGAGTTCGTTAGATACAGGATTAATGTTCGATTTGTTAAATGATGTTAAATGATTTGTTTTCATAAGTATATGTACAAAGTTATTGGATAGTTTATTGGATATTATTATCTGGATTTTCTTCATCATTACTATTCGATAGGAAAAGATATTTGATATGATGTGAAGTTGAATGTTTCAGAAGGAAAGCACATTCTGATGTTATTAGTTTTTGGAAATGCGTAAAAGAACATGTTTAGATTGATTTCTTTATAGATATATGTATATTTACTTTTTATAGTTAATTCTACAAGATATAAAATATATAGTGTGGAAAGTACAATTTTTTTAAAATAAAGAAAATATACAGAAGTGTATATTAATTAAATTATCATAGTAGAAAAAGAACATTTAATATTTTTTCTTTCATAAAATATGGATATTGTTAATAAGATAAATAATCGACATGTTAATATTAATATTTCATATTCAATCAAACGTGAAAATGAAATCATGAAATTTTTGTTCTCAAATATTCCATTTCATGGCGGTTTCAACATTTATAATCACTTGCTATTTTCATTTTGTTTTCATAAGATATTACATACATTTCTCATTCATTATTTCATTTCAACTACATTCTTTATTCTGAATGAGGTAATTAAGCTCATTAAGCTCGTTATATCCCTACATGGAAGATATAAAGTTACATTTTACGCCCGAAGTATTAATTTTAGAATCAGGCAGTTTTATTCATCCTTGATGAGTAGTAGTATCATAAACTCCCTTAAAATATTAAAATTTCCTTTATTCTTTATCAATTCGATTTAAAAATTTTTTTAAATTTTTGCTTAAAATATTTCCGTTTATACACAAATTAAATTCTATTAAAATAGATCCATTTAAATATCTCATCTTGTTGAAAAATTGTTAAAAATATCGAAAAATTTTTTCAGCAAAATCAAATAAAATAAGGATTGAATTTTAATTAAAATTTATTAAATGTAAGATAAGAAAAATATAAATAGAATTGCGTGTTTCTTATTCCTCATATAATAAATACAATATTTATATTTATATTGTTAGAATATCTCCAATTTAATAATCTTTTAAACGATTTATTAGATTCTATTTAAAAATTAATCTCCAAACAATGTCTTTTTTCTCTTAATAAAAATTCTTTTATCATCTCTTCAAATTAATTCAAATTTTTATTCTTTAAGCTTTATTTTAAATATTATCAATAATTTTAGAAATATTCTCCCTTTCTTTCTTTTACATCGTGAAATTTTGTGAAAATTTGTTATTTATAACGACAGAAGATTAAAATTTTTTTTTCATGATGTATAGCCGATACACTTGTCGAACTACTATAATCTACAAGGAGGCAACGTTATCCTCTCTTCTTCCAAAGTACAATTTCTGGTGTCTGGCGGAGATAAGAAAGTTTTCGTTCACAGGCCTCGAAGAGGAAAAACGTGTCATCTTGAAATATCGAAAATTTCCTTCCCTCGAAGGATAAAAATATTATGGCATCGCGAATTTACAAAAGAGGATATCGATCGTCTTCTTTCTAATCATCCACCTTTCTATCTATCCGCCAATTTTTATTAATGAATTTGTTTAATTATATTTAATTAAAACAATTTCCCTTTGCTCCAGAATTTTTATCGAGTTTTCCAATCCTTTATCCTTCTGTCGTTGTTTAAATTTAAAAAATGCAAGAATAATATAAGCATAAAGCTTTTTGTCAGCATATATGTTTCTGTTTGAAATAATTAAAGACTCTTTTTGTTCAGGGTGTTACATTGAGAAGATGGCAGCAACCTGTGAGACGAAAAGATTCCGTGGCCAGAATGACTCTTTCGGGGCTTCATTATGTCGTCGAGGTGAGTCCTTTTTCTCTTTTTCATTATTTAATTTTTATATACATTTATATAAATATTAAATGTAAATATTTATGCGGATAAAATTGAAATTCTATCAATAGTTAATTATTATTTTTTAAGAAAAAAATATTTCACTTATGATATTTTCTGAAGATTTTTAAGTTTCAATTTGAAAAGAAAGCATTATCTTGCATAATTTAATGGTATTTAATATATCAAATTTATGAATATAGAATCATAAAGATATTGAATTTTATATAATTTTGAAATCTAGATGAAAAAAGAAGTAATAACAAAGAATAATTTAATTTAAAAAATAAATCAAGTCTTAATAATTAATGAATCTCGTAAATATATACTTTAAAGATATGAATTTCATATAAATCTAGAACCTAAAGAAAGAAAGAAGGAATAATAATAAAACGTAATAATTGATCAAATCTCTAGAATTGAATTTAAAAAACAAAATTTAATAATAATAGATTGACTAGAAAAAATTAGAATTCAATATTTTATTTAATATAATTATCAATACATTATAAAAATCCTATATATAATTAGTTATTTATAAACAATAAATTATAAATTTCTTTATAATTACAATATTAAAAATATTATTCATAATTAACTGAGAAATATTTTATAAAATGAAAATAAAATAATTATATCTTCGATATTTCAATCCAAATGAAAACACTTTCAAATTTGAAAAATTCATCCAAAATTAAAATTAAAGACTTATCAATAACTATTGATTATCGCATAATCATATATTTATTTGCATATAATCTTCCCTTATTAAAGAATTTTATAAAAACTTTAAAACTTCCTAAACATTATCAGAAGTCCCCCTTCTTGCTTCAAGCTTCTCAATTCTCTCCATCAAAGTATCATCGTGCACGAATCACGCAAGACACTTTCCATTAAACACCAATCAGAAAAGGAACCCATCCAGACATTGGATAGTCATGTTTCCTCCGACAGGAAACGAAGTATCGAACCGTTCGCATGTTCCATTTCCCGTTATTACCGATCGAGGAATCGAGGTAAACGAGTAAACAAGTTAATCAACGTTTCGTTATCATCAACCGACACACCGCTCGATCGGAGGCTAAGTTTCCTTCCAGACGAGTACGTAGTGTGTTCCAACGGAAATCGGCGCGATCATTAAGCTAACGAGCTTACCCTTCCTGTTTCGGGCCTGCGTCGAACTGACTTCGATATTTGGGACGAATTTTTAGACCTGATTTCTGCCGATCTACTTTGATTAAGATATCTCGTTTCGTTTTAGATTTTTTACTATTTACTTTTCTCTTTTTATTCCTTTTTTTCTTTTGTTATTACT